CTGGAGGCTCTTAGGGGGTGTGTTGGGAGGGGCCAAAACATGTAGCCGCCAGCAGCCCTCTTTGCCTAGCTCTTTGCCAAACCCTTGGGCCACACCCACAGACCATGGAAACCCAACTGATCAATCAAGTGTTGTGCTTATGACAGAGTTTCACAGATCCCAGGTGCCAGGTCGCCACGGTGCCTAGAAATGTCATTGTGGCACCTAGGGTTTTCAGCAATGAGTTTATTTTAGCAATTCAAAATGCAAACACTAATTGTTAGAGCCAACCAGCTTTTCCACTGGTTAAAAAAAATGAAGGCAGGGGTCCCCCTTTGACCACTAAAAAGGCTATGTTTGGGACCACAGGACTTGCATGGATAAAAACCACTTGGAATGGGGGATGTAATAAGGAGGGGAACTGGCCAAGATTGGGGGGAGGGGAGAACTGGGTGGATTCAACCCAAATTTGATTTATTATTTTTACATCAGAATATTTTGCTGTAGGCTATAAAAACAAATGGGCATGAAGTCCTTATAATTTCTTCTTTATATATAAACTTAATTTTAAACTATTCAGTGGTGGCAGTGGAAGAATTCGTTTCTTAACCACCTGCTTTCTATAGTGCTTCTGATATTCACTTAAATGGAGCTTTTAAAAAACAAACAGTGGAACTGTGAGAAATTGGGGAGAAGTTATCGCTCAGGTGGGAGGTTAGCTTTTCATTGTGGTAACAGCGTGGGTAACCTCTGTATTTATTGATTCACTGCAACACTTTTGTCAAAGCTTTAATACCATTTCAAAAAAAAACAGTGAAGATACTTGCCTTAGGTGTTGTGGTAGCAATAATCAGAAAATGTGCTCATTAAAAATGAAAACTGAGAGAGACGCCTAAATATTGAGTCTGGCTCCTAGAACCAAAGAAAAGACCTCGCTTGTCAAGACCTGGTGTAGGTTCCTCCAGGGGTGGCAGCTTTCAAATGCCACCATCCAGTTCCTAACAGGAAAAACTCCAGGCCTGAAAGCAAAGGTGAATGCTGGGAACTCACTCTGAACTGCATAAGACCCCCTCCCCCCTTAGAGGAGACCAGAGCTGGACAGGCCGAGACAAAACCCTGTGGGCACTATACGGGCCAGTGGGCATATTTCTCATTTATTTCCCTGAAACTTGCTTCAAAGAGGTTCCAGACTTTTTAAGCCTTGCTTCTCTTTGTATTCCAGTGACCTCATGGCAGTCTGTGGAGCTCAATGGCTTAAGAGCTAGGAAGGTGTTGTGCCAGTGTGAAAGTTGTGTCTGTTGAGACCGCCAGAGAAGTGTAGCGGTTATGCTAAAAGAGCTAGAACTTCTGGCTGCCAGACAATATTAGGATCTCCTGGCTATACTACACATGGAGATGGAGGAGGAGGAGGAGGAGGAGAAGGAGAAGAAGGAGGAGAAGAAGGAGGAGAAGAAGGAGAATACAGTGTTAGACCAGGATCTGGGATACTCAGGTTCAAATCCCACCTCTACGATGGAAGCTCATTGAGTGACCTTGGGCCAGTCACACAATCTCAGCCTAGTCTACCTCAGAGGGCTGTTGTGATGTTCAAATGAAGATAATAATGTAAGCTGTGTTGGGTCCGCCTTGGGGAGAAAAGATGAAGTAAACACAGGGCTATTTTTTGGCAGGAACGCACAGGAACGGAGTTCTGGCTGGCTCCCGAGTTGGCCACACCCAGCAGGAACTCATTAGCATAATAGGCCACACCCAACAGCAGAAACTCATTAGAATTGGCTACATTAGGGGTGTGTGGCCTAACATGCAAAGGAGTTCCTGCTACAAAAAAACCCTCTGGGTTTTGACAACAAAGTAAATAGAATAAGAAGCAAAAGGTGGGTGTGGCTGGATGACCACACTTCTGGTAGCATGGGGGTGCGGCCTAATAGGCTAATGTGCTGTGCTGTCAAGGGTGTGGCCTAATATGCTAATGAGTGTCTGCTGTTGGGTGTGGCCTATTATGCTAATGAGTTCTTGCTGGGCTTTTTCTACAAAAAAAGGCCCTGAGTAAACATATTAATAATAAATTGAGGTTCTGTGAACATAGAAGCCCAGCCCATGTTTGGCCTCTGGTAGAAGTTCCTGAGCAGGTCTTTGGAAAACTACTGTTCTCTCAACCTTTGTGCCCTCCTCCCAAATACAGAGATAATACTGGAGAGGACATGAGGGAGAACTAGGGTCATGCAGTGTTGGAGAAATGTACAATGTCTGGAGTCTGCACTAGGTGTGTGCAATCTTTTTTAAACCAATATGTTTCCATTCAGGTCTATTGGACCCGGGGGGAAATTCGGGATTTCAAAAAAAACCAACCATATCCCAATACTGGTATGGTATTCGGATCCAGGATTTTTCAGAAATCCTGAATTTTTTCAGATCCAATAGACCTGAGAAGAAAAATACCAGTTTTTTTAAAAAGGCCAGGCAAATCCAGTGCAAAGCTGAGCCTGCGGGGAGCAATCTGCTCCTCATGGGCACAGCCGATCTTGGTTGGACTTGCTTCTCATAAGAACATAAGAGACGCCAGTGTTGGATCAGGCCAATGGCCCATCCAGTCCAACACTCTGTCACACAGTGGCCAAAAATACCAGGTGCCATCAGGAGGTCCAGCAGTGGGGCCAGGGCACGAGAAGCCCTCCCACTGTTTGCCCTCTCCAAGCACCAAGAATACAGAGCATCACTTGCCCCAGACTGAGAGTTCCTATCTATACCTTCTGGCTAATAGCCACTGATGGACCTCTGCTCCGTATGTTTATCCAGTTGTCTCTTGAAGCCATGCAAGCTTGTAGCCGCCCCCACCTCCTGTGGCAGCGAATTCCATGAATAAGTACTTTTATCTGTTCTAACCCGACTGCTCAGCGATTTCATTGAGTGCCCATGAGTTCTTGTATTGTGAGAAAGGGATAAAAGTACTTCTTTCTCTACCTGCTCTATCCCATGCATAATCTTCTAAACCTCTATCATGTCGCCCCCTCAGTTGTCATTTCTCCAAGCTAAAGAGCCCCAAACGCTTTAACTTTTCTTCATAAGGAAAGTGTTTCATCCCTTTTATCATTCTAGTTGCCCTTTTCTGCATTTTCCCCAATGCTATAATATCCTTTCTGAG